GACGGGCAAAATGATTTAAGGTGGTCAAAAAGTACAAACTTCCAGTTATAAAATAAAAAGTCATGGGGATGTAATGTACAGCACGGTGACTGTAGTTAATTGCGTATTTGAAGGTTGCTAAGAGAGTAGATCTTAAAAGTTCTCATCACAAGAAAAAAGTTGTGTAACTATGTATGGTGAGGGATGTTAACTAGACTTGTGACCATTTTACAGTATATACAAATACTGAATCATTATGTTGTATACCTAAAACTAGTATAATGTTGTTTGTCAATTATACGTCAATTAAAACAGAGTCCATAGGCGGAGTTCTCTGCCAAGGGACTGTTACCAGTAAAATAGTTTATAGAAGCCTCATCTTTTCCCTGTATAAATCTTTTTGTAGATGTGGACAATATATTGATGGAAGAGAAAGTATCTAAGATAGTCATATGGAGAAATGTTTAGTCTTTTTTTAAAAATGCAGTCTACTATTTTGAACAATCACTTGAGCAAAATAAAAACAAATATGTTAAATGATGAAAAGGATGTGTAAGTGACAGGTTGGCAGTATTTATCAAGAGTCTTAAAAAATATTCAATCTCCTCAACCAGGCAGTTCTACTTCTAGATCTGATCCTAAAAAAAAAAAAAAAAAATTAATATGGAAAAGATTTGGACATAAAGTGTTTATTTGGGTGCCTGGGTGGCTCAGTCGGTTCGGTGCCTGACTTGGTTTCAGCTCAGGTCTATCCTGGGGTCGTGGACTTAGGCCCCTGTGACGGGCTCCTTGCTGGGTGTGGAGCCTGCTTAGGATTCTCTTTCTCCCTCTGCCCCTCTACCCTGCTCGTGCTCTCTCTCTCTCTCAAATTAAAAAAAAAAAAGTGTTATTAGTGTTATTTATAATAGTGAGATATTGGAAATATCTGTTTTTTATTTTTAATTTTTTTCTTTTTTGAAAGAGAGCGTGTGTGCAAGTGGGGAAGGAGCAGAGGGGGAGAGAGAGAATCCCAAGTAGTCTCCATGCTCAGCATGAGGCCTAACGCGGGCTCAATCCCATGACCCTGGGGTCATGACCAAGCCTCGAGTCAGACACTTAACCGACTGAGCTACCCAGGTGCCCCAGTATTGGAAATACCTTAAACATATAATTGGAAAACGTTTAAATAACTTTAACCATCGACTTAAATATCCTGAAAGACAGACTATGGCTTTGAAACCCAATTCAATAATTTATTAAATCTGTAACCTCAGAAACACAATTTGCTCATCTGTAATATCTGAAAACGTTAAGATTTTGGAAGAATTAAGTGTATTAGATTGAAAATATCTGGCACGTTGTAACTGTTAAGTAATAGTTACTATCATACTTAGATTGTCAAATATATGTATGAGGAATTATTAACGATACGGGAAAAATTTGGGATACTATGTGAAATGAAGAAAACAGGTTTGATTTAGCTTTTAGTGTTACATATGCACTCAAAAATGGATGGAAGAAAGTTTACCAGACTGTTAACTGTGATTTTGAATGGTAGAAGCATGGATGATATTTTAAATTCCCCTTAGATTGTTGTGTAGTTTTTGAATTTTCTACAGTGACACGTGTTTTGTACTTAATCAGTTATTGAAAACAAAAGAAAAAAGCAATCTTTGAAATTCAGGGCATATTTGCTTTTCATTGAATTTTGTCTTCAGTGGACATAGCCAGTGACGTTTTTGGTTTATATTAATTGTCTTTATCTTCACATTGCTTACAAATAATACTGGAACATGGGGCACCTGGGTGTCTCAGTTGGTTAAGCGCCCGACTTCAGCTCAGGTCATGATCTCACAGTTTGTGGGCTTGAGCCCCACATCAGGCTCACTGCTGTCGGCACAGAGCTGGTTTCTGATCCTCTGTCCTCCCTCACCTCCCTCCATACCTCCCCCTCATGTGCATGTGCGCGCTCTCTCTCTCTCTCTCTCTCAGAAATAAATGAATACTAAAAACAAATAATACTGGCACAAAAGTTTGTATGTAAAAGGAGTGTTGGGTGTTTTGTTTTTGCTTTTCTTTACTAGTAGCTCTGAATTGTATTTGTGTTCACTGATTAATTTTAGAGTTAATTAAAAAAATTTTTTTTTTCCAGAAACAGCATTTAAATTTAAAGCCCTAAAGAAGGTTGCACAGTTAGCAGTTATAAATAGCCTGGAAAAAGTAAGTTATGACCTCCTTGACATTAAAGTTTTGTTAAATTTTGGTTATAAACGTTGCTGTCTTTACTATTTTGAGTCAAAAGTCATGACTTCAGTGGTAGTTTCACGTTAATATTTAGGAATGCATTGCAGTATTCTTATGAAGGAAATTAGAGTTTGTAATATAATTGAGGTTGTAGGACATTTTATTTACTGTACCATGAAAATATCCCCGCTTTCATATAAAAACGTATGTTTTGTTATTTGTAGGCATTTTGGAACTGGGTAGAAAATTATCCAGATGAATTTACAAAGCTGTACCAGATTCCACAGACTGATATGGCTGGTAAGGATAAGAGTGACTTACTCATGTTTTAAACTCTTACTTACGAGGTAAAAACCTACCACTTTCAAGGTCATTTTTGTTAAGGTGCTTTTACATCTTGTCCCCTGATATCAAATAGGAAATAGTATTTTTCTCTTATATTTCAAAATGACCTTCAATCCTTTTCCTTTCCTTTGAGCAAATAGTAAAAGAAGTTTGGAATGAAGCCCTAATCTCTAATTAGAGTTGTGGATAGAATATTTGATGGCTCTTCTTTATAGAGAAAGCCCTTTTTTGTGCGCTGAGGCTTTATTTTGTATTTAGCGAGATGTGTATAAAGTGGTGACATCCTTCCCTAGAATTTTGAGACACAGCTGTGAGGCAGAGAATACAGACTCCTGGAGAGCTTTGATGATTCCTTTTGGGAAGCTGTGCAGTCTTTGTTTCTTGCGTACATCGCAGTTTGCGTAAGGCCCTGCGCGTTGAGACTAAACACAAGTTTGGCCATTTGACCTTTCCTAGGGTGGATCAAGATAGCTCTTTTAATACAGACAATGTAATATTTCTTGTCTCCTTCCCTGAATGAATTTAATTGTTTACGTGAACTTCCAAGTTTATCTTTTAAAAATGTGGCATTTGGGTTTTTGGTTAGTGCTGGCTTTTAATTTAATGCCAGAGATTTTCTTCTCATCTAGTAATATCATTGAATTGTATTTCCCCATAGAGTGTGCAGAAAAACTGTTTGACTTGGTGGACGGTTTTGCCGAAAGCACCAAGCGTAAAGCAGCGGTTTGGCCACTGCAAATCATTCTCCTTATCTTGTGTCCAGAAATCATTCAAGATATCTCCAAGGATGTGGTTGATGAAAACAACATGAATAAGGTGAGCAGGGCAAAATCATTTCTATTATGTCCAGATGTCAACTAGCTTATTTTAACTAAGGTGTATGTATCGCTTTGGGCTTAGCATTCTGTAAGCACCGCGTTTCAGGGGACCGTTTCTAATTATGATCATTTTAGGTCTCTTTGTTCGCTGGCCTTGACAGAGACATACTCATACCTAAATTTATTTGGAGGGAAAATAAATGATACCACTCAATTAAAAATTTAAAACAGTTCTTTAGTGGGGTGCCTGGGTGGCTGCAAAGTTGGTTAAACTTCTGACTGTGGCTCAGGTCATGATCTCACAGTCTGTGAGTTGGAGCCTAGCATCAGGCTCTGTGCTGACAGCTCCCTGTCTCTCTGCCTCTCACCCGCTCCCTTTCTCTCTCTCTCTCTGACCCTTACCCGCTCACACTTTGTCTCTCTCTCTCTCTTTCTCAAAAGTAAATAAACATGAAAAAAAATAAAAAAATAAAATAAAACAGTTCTTTAGTTCCATTTTTTTACCAGAGAAGACTGATACTTCTGTCAGTGTTAAACATAGTTTTTCTAATAATCATTGCACGGGTTGCCCTGTTAGAGTTCATCGGTTTTGTGTTGTGTTATTTGCATGTACTTAGGTGTGTACCTACTTGGTGCTAATGAAATTGTCTAATAATTCATTTTAGATATTTTCAAACAGTTTTCATAGCATTTTACGAGGAAGGTAGGATGCCACATATGCCATCTATAGTGAAATTGGTACTATAAGAACTGCTAATTTTAAGGGGCTCTTATAATTTTTAAAAAATAGAGCAGGGTGTTAATCTTATTTGTTTTGGTAATACATTTTTTGTTTTTTGCCACTTTGGGAGAAATACTCTTAGCTGAGTAAACATAAACTGGGCTCCCACATGACTTGCCTGTGGATGTAGATGTTCAGAATCAGCTGAGTGATTCAATACTTTGTAGAAATACCAGGTAGGGAACTTATGCATTAGGTGGCTAAACAAGCGAACTTCAGTAATCCTTTAGTCTTTGATGCTATGGTACTCCACTTAGGTCTGTGTCCTCAGTTTTCCATTGGGAGTACACCATTTTTCATGCTAGGTTGTTTTGGAGCATGTCCGAAGAGTAGTTTTGAGGGATTTCTGTTTATTGGGAAAATAGAGGTAAAAAGCTACTATAAATTCAGTACTACTTTTAAGTGAATTTATATTTGAATAATCACAGCTACATCTTTGCAGATGTTTGCTTTATTTGTGTATCTTACATGACTTTCTCATTTTCTATTGAATCGTTTGTTCTTTATTGATTTGTAAGGTGTCTTTTTATTTTGAGAGAGAGAGAGAGAGAGGGCTCAGATGAGCGAGGGTCAGTGAGAGAGAGAGAGAGAGAGAGAGAAAGCGGGGCTCACCAGAAAGCAGGGCTCGTGTTCACCTGAAGCAGGGCTCGATCTCACCTGATGTGGGACTCGAACTCACAAACCATGAGATCATGACCTCAGCCAAAGTCAGATACTTAATGACTGAGCCACCCAGGCACCCTGTAAGTTGTGTGTTGTCTGTACACTTTTACTTAATTTCTCTTTTTAAACTTTGTTTATGGTTTTTTGTTTGTTTTCATTTGGTTTTTGCTGTTTAGGTATTTAAAATTTGTCTGTAGTCATTTCTGTCTTTTTGTCTCTTAGCTTTTTTGGTCAGACTGCTCCTACCCAAGATTTTACTTATTCATTTTATTGAGATAAAATTCACATACCATAAATATACTCTTTTAAAGCCTACAATTCAGTAGTTTTTAGCATATACAAAAAGTTGTGCAACCATCACCACTAATACCAGAACATTTCTATCATCCCAGAAAGAAGCCTTATACCTGTTAGCAATCACTTCTTATTCCTCTCTCACCCTAGCTTCTGGCGACCACAAGTCTGCTGTCACTATGAGATTTGCCTATTCTGGACATTTCATACAAATGGAATCATGTAATATGTGGCTTTTGTATCTGGAACATCTGAGATTTTTGAAATTGGCTTTTATATATTTCTTAGTACGTTTCTAGGTTAAAAAGTTTAGATTTTTGAAATCTTTCTGGATTAAAAGAAATGTATTATTTATTTATTTTTTTAATGTATTCTCACTCTTTCCTGGGCATATTAGTTATGAGCTAACCAGTGTTAATGGTTGGTTGATACGTATGCTTCCATTCATATCTACTTGCTCATAAAAACATTCAAATGAAAATACACGTACATGCATAGACTGGTGATTATATTTTAAAATGAAATCACACACACACACACACACACACACATATATATATATATATATATTTTTTTTTTTTTTTTTTTTTTTTTTTTTTTTTTTTTTTTCCTTTAAGTATTCTCTACAGCCAGTGTGGGGCTTGAACTCATGACCCTGAGACCAAGAGTCACATGCTCCACTGCCTGAGCCAGTCAGGAGCCCCAAAATGAAATCATTTTATACACATTCTGCAGCTTGCTTTATTTACCTTAGAGTGTATCTTGGCTCTTCCTCAAAATAGTTGATAGAGATCTAACACATTCCTTTAAGTGTTGGATAATATTCTGTTACACTGATGAGCCTCATTTACTCAACCATTTGACGGTGAATGGATGGATTCTTAGATTTTTTCAGGTTTTTGACTTTACATTTAATCCTTAAGTAAGTATCTTTGTTCATGTATTTTTGTTAACTGATGCTTTTAGTTCTGTAGACTAGAATTCCAAAACTGGGATTTTGTGTCAAGGACATTTGAATTAAAAAAAAATTTTTTTTTAATGTTTTATTTATTTTTGAGACAGAGAGCATGAACGGGGGAGGGTCAGAGAGAGAGGGAGACACAGAATCTGAAGCAGGCTCCAGGCTCTGAGCTGTCAGCACAGAGCCCGACGCGGGGCTCGAACCCACGGACCGTGAGATCATGACCTGAGCCGAAGTCGGATGCTTAACCGACTGAGCCACCCTGGTGCCCCTTGAATTTAAAATTTTTAATAGTTATTTTTAGATTTACATTTCCCAATATTTATACCATGTCACATTTTCACCAATATGAATTAGAATGCCTGTTTTTCTGCATCCTCACCAGGACTACATGTTTTTCAGTCTTTAATGAGGTAAAAAAGAGCATCTCATTTTATTCATTGCATTAGTGAGGTTCAGGATCATTTCTGTTTCTAGGTCATTTGCATGTTTTCTTTTGCATGTCTGTTGATTCCCCCTCCCCCCCCCTTTTTTTTACTAGTCTCTTATTAATTTATGAGACTGTCTATTAGTCTCTTACTGAATGATACCACATTTGATTTAGAAGAATGTTTTATTGTTCTAAATTGTTAGTTTTTTTGGAGATTTGAAAAATTTAATTGTGGTTAGAAAATGGTGGTACGTATTTGCTTTAAAAGTGTCCTGTGGTCATCAGAGTAGAATGTGTATCATTTTTTAGGGTACAGAATTTAATGTAAATGTTTAAAACTGCACTTACAACTGATCTGTAGTTCTCGAGAACTGCTGTAGGGGCTTGAAAGTCCCCTGTGAATATGCTGGGGGAAATGCTTAGTTTAGCTGTCTGAGCTCCCCTAGCCCTCAAGTAGCAGTATGCTCTGTTAGCGTGGCAGAACTCCTCCTAATCGTTGGTAATCACGCCTAGGTCTTTATTATAAAGCAAGCAAAGAATAAACAACAAATAGAACCCTTAGCAGACTGGATTGGGCTTTTATTTACACATTGTTGACTGCACACTATATGCAGAGTGGTTCTGTTTTTCAGTTTATAATTTTTGTTATTACTATTTTATTGTTTTTTTACTGTATTAGGGAAGGTAGTATAATGGCTTACCACAATAGAACTTTATTATACTTATGAAGCGCTAATGAGCTGCTGATCTGAATAGCTCTGTGGGACGGCCCTCCTTTTTGTGGTTTCTTAGGACCTTGCACAGCAAAGACTGCCATCTTTAAAACATAGCTTCTGTGGAAGTTGCTTCTATCCTGCTAGCCAGAAGGCAAAACATGGGAAATCATCCTGAGGATTTTGATGGGCCAGGCCTGGAAACATCACACTTTCATTCACATTCCATTGGGTAGAACTCAGTCACATGGCCATATTTAACTGCAAGAGAGCCTGAGAAATACATTTATATCCCCAGGAACCAAGGAATGAAGGAATTAGGGAAGACAGAGGGAGTCAAGGATGGCTTAGACTGCTGTCTCTCTAGAATTCCCAGTTATTTCTTTATGGGTGAAGAGCTACATTTAAAGAGTACGTGTCCACTAGGAGAATAATGTGGCTATATGTGCTGCGAGAAGGAGTGTGGAACCTTAGTTGAGCTTGAAATAAGAATAGAACTTAGAAAAGAGAAAGAGATACAGAGTTGTTCAGGCCAGGGTGATCAAGAAAATGGATTGTGTACAAATGTTAAATAAAGATATGTTCAGAAAAGTTGCTTAGCCTTGAAGATGGAAGATTCATGCAGGCAGTGATAAGAAATGAGGATGAAAGGCAGATGTGAATAGTCTGGAAGATACTGTGAGCCAGTTTGGATTTAAACTTTATTCTTTAGGCAATGAGGAAAAGTCCAAAGTTTAGGGTTAAAGGTGAGATATGCAAAGTAGTGTTTTTGGCTGATAAAAGGAAAGTCCAAAGTGGGAGCTAGGTCAAAATAAATAGGAGTTTAGCTTTTAAAACTTTTATTTATATTCTGGTAAAATAACCCAAAATTTATCCTTTTAACTGTCTTTAAGTGTGCAATTCAATGGCATCAAGTACACTCATAGTGTTTTGTAATCATCACCATTATCTATTGGTGAACTTTTTATGGTCCTGTTAGATTCTCTATGTTAAACAATAACTCCTCATCCCCTCCTCCTCATTAGTCCCTGGTAACCTCTATTCTACTTTTGGTCTCTTGGAATTGCCTATTCTAGGTACCTCATATAAGTGGAATCATACAATATTTGTCCTTTTATGTCTGACCTATGTCATTTAACATCATGTTTTGTGGCATTATCAGAATTTCATTACTTATTATGGCTGAGTAAATATTCGTGTGTGTGTGTATGTATGTATACCACATTTTGCTTATATCCTAGAAATTTCTTGTGTGCAGTGGTATTTCATTGTGATTTTGATTTGCATTTTCTTAAGTTTTTAAAAAAGTTTATATAAGTAATCTCTACACTCAATGTGGGCCTTGAACTCCTGACCCCAAGATTAATAGTTGGATGCTCTTCTGACTGAAGCAGCCAGGCCCCCTGATTTTCATCTTTCTAATGGACTAACCATGTTGAGCATCTTTTCATAAGCTTATTGGCCATTTGTATTTCTTTGGAGAAGGTGTCTATTAAAGTTCTTTGCCCATTTTTAAATTGAACTGTTTATTTTTTGTTGTTGAGCTGTTGGAGTTGTTTACATGTTGTAATCCCATATCAGATGTATGATTTGCACATGTTTTCTCCCATTCAGGTCATGATCTGTGGTTTATGAGTTTGAGCCCTGCATCGGGCTCTGCACTGACAGCACAGAGCCTACTTGGGATTCGGTCTTTCCCTCTCTCTGGCCCTTCCCTGCTTGCACACTCTCTCTCTTTTTCTCATAATAAATAAATAAACTTAAAAAAAAAAGCAAACAAACAGTAGTGTTCTCACTTTTAATTCTG